AATCATTTTGTTCATAGTCGAGGCTTTGTGCGTTGCATTTGTGAAATACTTCCCTATCCAAACTTCATCCTAATCTTCTCTTTTTTTTTAAGTTTTAAGGTTTTGCTTTTCATGTTCAGTTCTTCTATTTGCAATTTAGTTTTAGTGAGGTAAAATTCACATAACATTAAATTCACCATTTCAGCAGCTTTACAGTGTACGATTCAGTAATGTTTAGTAAATTTACATCTGATACAACCATCACCACCATCTGGCTCCAGAACATTGCCCTTCCCCACAGAGGCTGAAGTGCTTTACATTTCCAAGAGCAATGTGCAATGGGCCTAATCTCTCCATTCTTCACCTCCATTTATTACCCATCCTCTCCTTTTCATAGCCATCCTAGTGATCATGAAGTGGTATCTCACGGTGGTTTGGATTTACATATCCCCAGTGATTAACGATGTTGAGCATCTTTTCATGCGCTCACTAACCCTCTGTGTATCTTTGCAGAAATGTCTATTTAACTCCTTTGCCTGTTGTTTACCTAGGTTGTTTGTCCCTATTGTTGAGTTTTAGGAGTTCTTTCTATACTCTGGATACTAACTCCTTATTGAATATATGACTCTCAAATAGTTTCTCCCATTCTGTGGGTTGTCTTCACTTTCTTCATAGTGTGCTTTAACGTACCAAAGTTTCAAATTTTGCTGGAGTCCAATTTATGTATTTTTTCTTATGTAGCTTGTGTTTTTGGCTCATGAAGATTTATCCCCATTTTCTCCTGAAAATGTCATAGCTTTAGTTCCTACATTTAGGTCTTTGATCTATTTTTAGTTAGTTTTTATATGGCGTGTGGCAAGGGTCCAACTTCATTCTTTTGTATGTGGATGTCCAGTTTTACCAGCACCATTTGTTGAAAACACTGTCCTTTACCATTGAATGTTCTTGTCACCTTTGTTGAAAATCATTTAATCATATATGCACGTGTTTACTTCTGGGGTTTCTCTTCTATTCCATTGGTCTATGTGTATGTCATTATGCCAGAACCATACCATAGGAGTTTTAATTACTGTGGCTTTGTAGTAAATTAATGCGAGTCCTCCAACTTTGTTATTTTTTTCAAGACTGTTTTTGTTATTAGGGGACCCTTTCAATTTCATGGGCATTTGAGGAACCGCTTTCCCATTAAGAAAAAAAAGGCTGTTGATATTTTAATAGGAATTGTGTTGAATCTGCAGATCAGTTTGGGTAGCAGTGACATCTTGATATAGTTAAGTCTTCCTATCCAGGAACATGCAGATGTCTTTCCATTAATTAGATCATCTCTAATTTCTTTCAGCAATGTTTTGTAGTTTTCAGCATATAACTTTTTCACTGCCTTGATTACATTTGAAGTAGGCTTCACGCCCGGTGCGGAGCCCAAGGTGGGGCTTGAACTCATGACCCAAGAGATCAAGACCTGAGTGTAGATCAAAAGTCTGCACTCAACAAACTGAGCCACCCAGGTGCCCATCCTTGATTAGATTTAGTCCTAAGTATTAAATTCTTTTAAGTGCTATTATAAATGGAATTATTTTCTTAATTTCCCTTTTAAATTATTCATTGCTGGAGTATAGAAACACAACTGATTTGTGTGTATTGATCTTGTACCCTGCAACTTTGCTGAACTCATCCATTAGTTCAAATAACTTTCTCGGATCATGTCGCTATAAATATAGTTTTATCTCCTCCTTCCCAATTCCAATGCCTTTTATTTCCTTTTGTTATCTCTAACATCTCTGACTAGAACTTCCAGCACAATGTTGAATAGAAGTAGCGAAAACATGCATCCTTGTCTTATTCCTGAGCTTAGGGAGAAAGCTTTCAGTCTTTCACCATTGTAAATGATGTTAACTGGATTTTCCATAAATACCGTTTACCATGTTGAGGATTTTCTCTCTAATCAAAGTTCTCTGAGAGTTTTTATCATGAAATGGTGTTGGAGTTTTTCAACTATCTTTTCTGTGTCAGTTGAGATAATCTCCCCCCTGCCCCCACCCCCGTCATTGTTCTGTTCATCTGACGCACTCCATAGGTTTTTCTGGTGTGGAGAACCTTTGCGTTTCTGGAATCAATCTCATTTGTTCATGGTGTGTAACCTTTCTAATATGCTGTTGGTTTCCATTTGCTAAAGTTTTGTTCAAGTTATTCGTGTCTTCAAGCATTCATCGGGGATATTGGTCTGTAGTTTTCTTGTGATGTTTTTATCTGGCTCTGGGATCCCACACATCTAACAGATGTCTCCATGTCAACTTGCCTTCTCCACCCCAGCCTGCTTCTCCTCCAGTCTCTCACACTTCAGTCAAGGGGGCCAACCTCCACCTGCTGATCAGGCCTCAAATCCTTGAATTGCTATTCTGGTGCTGGTTCTTAACTACAGGCACTAGAATCTACTGTAGCTAATGTAAGCGGCAAGGGATGTATTATAAGATATTGGGCATATTACAGCACCTGTGCGAACCAAACACTTCTACCGCCAATCCACTATGAGAGACACCACTTCCCGTGATTCCTTCCACGTGTCATGTGGTGCGTGTATTAGCAAAACCAGGCACATCTGTAGTCTCAGATGCAAGGGATCTGAGGCATGTAGTTTTGCAGTCTCCGGTTTCTGCAAGCAGGAGAGTATGCTAGTTGTAGCTGGCACAGGCCACTGTCCATCTCAGCTGTTCTTTCCCTGACTCCTTTCCCAGGGATCTGGCTGTCAGCTTGTCCTCCCAGCTCTGTCTGCCTTTACTGTAGCCACTTCTCACAACCTCTGTCACTCCCACCTCAACCCAGCCCATCATTCTCACTGCGACTATGGCAGTTGCTTCCTGATGGGTCTCCCTGCCTTGACCAGCTGTGGTCTCCACACTGCAGCCAGGGTGACATGTTTGCAATAAAAATCAGATAACGTCACTTCCTTCCCGCATTCTCTCCACAGTGATTTCTCACAACACTCAGAATAAAACAAAGCCCATTATCATGACCTACTTATTTCTGCAGCATTTCCAGTCTCAGTTGCTTTGCATCTGTCCCCCTTCACCATGCTCCCCGGTACAAAGCCTTCCTTCCTCAAGCGCACAGAACCATTCCCACCCCAGAGCTTTTGCACACATGGGAGTAAGCAGATCCCTCCCACACTCTCTTCTGGTCCCTGTACAGTCTTCTCACCTGGACCATCTGCTTTATTGTGCTTTATTCTCCGTTCATTGGTTTATTGTTTGTCTCCCTCCATGGAATATCAGACCCCCAGGGGCTTGACTGGGCCATGCAATGATTGACCAAAAGTAGGTGATCCATGAGTACTTTGAGAATAAATCAAGCCACCTCAGAATTTTTGGAAAAAAACTTAGAAAACACTCCTGACTCTATGGATACACAACAAAGAAGGAACCAGATTCTTAAAAACTGTGGCTGTTCCTGTGCGGGCTCTGCTTTCCTTTTGCACAACAGATGTGGAAGAGTGAGCTTCACAGATAGGCCCCAAAACCTCCAGTAAGAGTGAGATTCTGGGGCTGCACCCTGACCAGGCATCCCGGGCACTGTCAACCTCCCCTAAGGCCAGCTTCTGCATCCTGGAGGAGCTCACCAGGGACAAAGTCGCCTGCTCTAGAGACATGTCAACACTCCAGAGCTCTGTCCCAGCAGGTGCTTTGGGACCACACAGGTTTATAAAGCATGGTCCCTAGGGGGCGCCTGGGTGGCTCAGCCGGTTGGGCGTCCGACTTAGGCTCAGGTCATGATCTCACAGCTCGTGAGTTGGAGCCCCGCATTGGGCTCTGTGCTGACAGCTCCGAGCCTGGAGCCTACTTCGGATTCTATGTCTGTCTGTCTGTCTGTCTCTCTCTCTCTCTCTGCCCCTCCCCTGCTTGTGCTGTCTCTCATAAATGAATAAATGTTTAAAATAATAATAATAATAATAATAATAATAATAATAATAATAAAGCATGGCTCCTATTCCTGAAGCATCATGGGCAGGACTCCCACAAGGAGAGCAGGGGAGAGGAGGATGAGGCAGGGATGGTTAGGGGGCTTTAGGGATAAAGGTCCCCAAGTACTGAGACAGGGCTGGAGGTTCCAGGAGGTAGAGAAGATGATTGAGGCAGGGGACAATCAGAAGAATTCAAAAAGGCCAGTGTGATGGGTGAGGGAGGGCAACTCATCCCTGCCCTCGTTACCTTTCTTTATTCTGGAACCTGTGGCCAGGAGCCTTTCCCTCCAAAGCTGCTCATTCCTCTGAACAACTGAACTTTATCCCTAAATGAGCACATTTGTCCTGCATTGGGTGGGATGAACCAGTGCCCATGTTTCCAGTGAAGGCACAATGCAGGGTTAGAGACCTGACTGGTTCTTGTGTGAGACAACCCCCCACCCCCAACTCCAATGCGGCTCCCCTGGGAGAGCATCCCCTCAGCCAATGTGTTCTCTTGGACGGGAAGGGAAGGCTAGTCCATCTATGCCAGTGGAAATCAGGTATGAGTCTGTCTACACTGGGGGAAATCCGATGCAGCCACTGGTCTGAGAACACTATTCCAGGTCCCGAGGCTTTGTGAGAACAAAAGTAAAAGCAAACGCCCCGCCACCCCCACTCCCACCCGCTTCGGAGGGAGGAGCCCCGCGCCCCCGCCCCCACTGCCGCCCAGGTGAGGGCACTTGTGCCTTGGGTCCGCCTGCGGGAGGTGAGAGCGGCTCCCCAGCCCCGCAGGCCTCCCGGCCCCTCCGCCACCCTCGGAGTGGAGAGGGTCGGCCAGGGAAGGGGGCCCGCCCCGCAGGGAGGGGGTCTGCCGGGTGCGGGGTCCGCCTCGTACGGAGGGTGTCTGCAGGGGGAGGGGCTCCGCAGGTGGAGGGGGTCCGCCCCGCGGGGAGGGGCTCTGCAGGGGGAGGGGGTCCGCGGTGGGGGGGGGGTCTGCTCCAGGCAGAGGAGGGGGGTTTTCCGGGGAGGGGAGGGGAGGGGGTCCGCCCCGCGGGGAGGGGTCCGCCCGACTCGCGCCTCCGGCTCCGGCTCCGGCTCCGGCGTGGCGGGCGGGGCGCCGGGAGAGTCGCGCGCCGGACAGTGGCCTTTATGGGAACGTTTTCCTCCGAGGTCGGGACAAAGGCGGCGCCACCATGGCTCTCAGCGCGGCCGACAAAGGCTCCGGCACCAAGGTAGGGTCCGGCCGGTGGGTGGCAGGGAGGGGGGTCTGAGGGCTGCCGCTGCCGGGGGGGAGGAAGCTTTGACTCTTCGGTCACTTAAAGATCAGTTTAGCAAACTTTCGCCTTAACCTCATGAATATTTCTGAGAAAAAATGTGGTTTTCGAGACAGGTCTGCAGGGCTAGGCTCTGAAGGGAGTGCTGCGGGGGGGGGGGCGGGGGGGGCCTAAAAGCACCTGTGCGGTGGTGGCTCTAGTCTCGTTCTTTATTAGCTGGGCACGGAGGGCGAACCGGCCAACCAGGGCGCTCAAAGACAAAGAAGTTGTACTTAAAGAAAATACCGATTGATTTGTCGGTTGGAACTCCGTCGAGTTCGGTAACGAACGTAGTCGAGGAAAACAAGAGGGGCCTTTCAGGTTTGGAAAAGCGTGAGACACACGGCTTTGTATTTCTTCGTGCGAAATGCAGAAAGTGTGCTGGGTTGGTCTCCCCTTTTTCCTGTGAAGCTGGATTACAGAGTGTTTGGTGTAATAATTACACTCTACTCCTGTTACTTCGACTTAAAAAGTTTAGTTGATACTTTAAGGTGTCTAATTAAGAATTAAAACATATAATTAAAAAATTAAGTTAAATGCAGTTGAAACTGTGCATAATTAATAGCTTACGAATCTGCTGTGTTAAACTGGCTGAGCTTTAGGCGGCTGTGGGCGCTGGGGGTGGGGGGGCTTCTCAGCTTCACGGAGCGATTTCAAAGTGGACAAAGTGAGATTCTGCTTTCCGTCTCCCCGAACCTGCTTCAGATTCACGGGATCTCTGGGTTGGGAGGAACTTCAGATGTCCCTTTTGCTCTCAGTAAAAATGCACTCAAATTCTGGGATAGTTACCAGCAACACATTTCCCTTCCTGAGGGACTCGTGTCTGTGTTGTGTGCCGGACATCCGACACTGAGGTAACAAACCCACTCCTGATCCTGATGCGACACCACGTCTTGATCTCACTGTGCTTTGGGGGACAAGTGGATGGTCCAGGTGGGCCTCGAGAGGACGGCTAACCGGTGGCACCCAGGGCAGGCCTCATCGTTTCATCCCGTTCATGCGGGCCTTGTCTGAAATGGCCTCTGTGAAACGCGGACCCTTGTGTCTGTGTCATCCTTTGGTGGTCTCCCATGAGTACTTTCTTACTTGTAAAGCATCCCAAAAATGCCAGGCTAAGGAAATAAGGTCGGCCCTGAATTTGCCCTCAGGCTCTCTGAGATGTGTGCTCACTGGTTGTATCATCCAGCCAAACACAGGAAACCCCAGATTCCCAGATCTCAGCGTTTTTTTGTGAGAATAATCCAAGCCCAGTTCACACGCCACCGCCTGCCTCCCTCCCTCCTTCCAAACAGAGCTAATGTGCGTTCTCTCTGTGTTTGAACAAAAATAAAAATCACTCAGAACCTGCTAGTCACCCATTCTACACCGAGAAGCAGCCCTGAAGCAGTGCGGTTTTCCTCTCCACACAGCTGTGCCCTGAAGCAGTGCACCCCTGCTCAGGATTTACCCTCCTGCCTTGTCAGCTCTGGGCTCCTTTTCCTGTATCCCTGCACCCCTGGCAGGGCCTGCCACTCAGTAGGTGTGTACCTAGTGAGGCAGGGAATGAAGAGAAGGAGGTGGGGGTACAGAGGGGTGGGCTGAGAGGTGGCAAATCCTGGCCTGCATGTGTTGATCCTGGGGCACCTTGAGAACCTGGGGTCCCCTGAGCAGAAGGCATCCATAATGACCATCTACCCTACAAGGGGCCAGGGAGGGCAGGTGCCTATGGGGTGGGAAGGAGACTCTGGACCCTGGCCTGGTGCCTGGAGAGCAGTCCCGGGACCTGGGAGATTTGATGTGCACCCACATCCGCCCTCTATTAGCTGTTGCCCTTTGGCCTTGTAGCTCGGCCTCTCTGAGCTTCAGTCTGTTGATTGAAAGGAATAATCACAGCCTGCCTACCTCAGAGCACCATATCGGTTTACTTTAAAAATGAATATGCAGATGCTTCTTGAAAGGTAACCCAGCTCATCATTCAGCTGAATGTTCCTAAGTTGAAGGCTTCCTCTGTCCTTAGAGCTGGGATACATTTTCAGGTGTTTCTAGGTGCCTCGGTTCACACCTGGGCCCAAATTCTCGAAGAGCTTTCAGATACTGTTAGACAAGTATCTGACCTTACAGAATTTTCCCCAAAATTGATAAAATCAAATTGTGGCTCAGTTAGTTGAGCGTCTGACTCTTGATCTCAGCTCAGGGTTGTGAGTTCAAGCCCTGTGTTGGGCTCCATGCTGGGCGTGAAGCCTACTTAAAACACAAAAACAAGCAAACCCCAAAACCAGACAAAAACAACAACAAAAAAGATACTTTGCAGTAAATTTCTTCTACGTGACTTTAAAACATCTGATGTTTCTAAACCCGAGAAAGGGATGAAATCTAAGGCCTACAACAGTTTGGGACATAAATTAATTTGAAATTCAGCACTAGAGTTGTTCAAGTCAGCGAGGTGGCAAGTATGTGCACCTGCCCCACAGAAATGTTACCTGCCTGTCGCCCTGGACCCAGAGACCCCCAGCCTCAGTAGGTGTCACCCTCAGAAAGCTCCCCTGGTCATCCTGCCTGCACCCCTTCCACAGCCACACACCCCCGGCGCCTTTCCTGCTTGGCTTCACCGTACTAGGGCCTCCGTGGGAGGGTCTGAACTAACCTCACCTTGTGCCTCACCTTTGTTGACCGCCTGTCTCCCCAGGCAGTACCGACTTTGCTTCATTTCACTTGCTTCTCTGGTGCTTATAATAGTGCATGGCTTGAAGTCGGTGCTCTACAAATGTTTGTCACGTGGTGGTTACCCACCCCCTCTTTTGAAGCCCATTTTGATTCCCCTGCCCAGCGCCAACCTCCCGTGGGCCACACAGATACAGAGCCTACCCTGTGGGATTCCTGTCTACTGCTTCGCCCCTGACCTAAGCTAATATCACTTCCTGGGACTTTTGAGAATGAAAACAACCACCTCAGAGGGAGCAGCTGGGTTACAGTTGAGTCTGGGAGACCTTGTCTAAGTGTCAAATGGTCAAAGCAGGTCCGAGACAGTTATAGGGAAGGCTTGACAAGACCCCATTCGAGGTAATGAATGTGTTCTGCATGTGTGTTTTGGGGTGGGGACAATGGTGCACGGAGCAGAAGAGAAGAAATGCCTGAGTTAACTTTAAATGAACAGAAGGGACAGCCAGGAGAAGGGTGACCCGCCCCTTCATTGTCAAGTAGAGGAACCACGGTTTGGTAGACAGCTTTGACCCAGAATTAGCCGCAGGCCGGTGTTCTCACCTGGAGAGTGAAGAGGGCAGAATGACTCTGGGATCTCTCCGGCTCTGTGTCCTGCCAGGATGGGACATAGGGCAGTGTGCCACCATGGCAGAGGACTCGGTGACTGGGGATGCATTCTGTTCAGCCAAGCTCCAGTCCTGGTTTCCCCACTGAGTGAGCAGGCAGGCAGGCAGGCCCCTCCATCCTACCATCTTTAGGACAGGGATGACAGTAGTATCATAATGTGCTTAAAACAGTGTCTGATATATAGTAAGTGCTCAATAAACGTTGGCTATTATTCTGGGATCCTACGATAGAAAGGGAGAGAGATTTTTCCTAAAAATAAAAGATGAAAAAAAGGTTTTTTGTCTTTTATTTTTGAAGTCCCTTAAGGAAAAATATCCAATGAAGTTATCTTCAAGGTATGTTGACACTCAAAGATATCACCGAGAAGAGGAATTACAATTATAATTATTTTAATAATATAATTGTCTATTTTTTAAAGAAACGTCTTGTGGAAGTGACAAATCAATAGGCCATGAACTCCACTTGAAATCAAGGGTCCTGGAGCCTTCCCTATGGCTTATTCAGAAAGACTAAAGAAACCGTAACTGGGATTTATTCAGCCTAGCACACCACACTGGGTAACAGAGTGAGCATTTAGTTCTCAAATTGAGAACACATTTGCATGTCCAGAGACTCTGACCTTCTGAGACCACAACCCAGAGGATCTCGGTGACCAGTGATGCAGGCAGAATGTAATCTCTCCCTAAAGTACAACATTTAAGTAGGAAAGCACATGGGAGAGTTGGTGGGGTAGGGCAACAACAGCAACAAATGAGAACAGATACTAGCACAGATTCTGAAAAGTTCTGGAACTAATTTTTTTAAATACTATTTTGAGGTGAAATTCACATAGACTGTTTCAGAGCAAACAATTCAGTGGTATTTAGTACGTTCCCAGTGCTGTGCATTCCACTACCTCTGCCTAGTTCCAGAACATCTCCATACCCCAAGTAAAACCTCACACCCATGTAACAGTTTCTCCCTGTTCCAGCCTCTCCCATCCTCTGGAACCACTAGTCTGATTCCTCTCTCTGTGGAATTGTCTACTCTGAATATTTTGTATAAGTGGAATCCTATAGTATGCGTCTTTTTTATTCTCAAATACATATAACATACAATTTATATGTACTGACTGTTAGTCCTCACAACCCCTCCATCCTGTGAATCTGAAACTCTGTCACTGTTAAACAGTGGCTCCCGTTCTGCCACCACCCCCAGCCCCTGCCTGCCGACATTTTACATTCTGTCCTCATGGTTGTAACTACTCTAAGGACCTTCTATAGTATTTGTCTTTTTGTGATTGGCTTATTTAACTTAGTATAAAATCCTCAAGATTTTATCCATATTGTAGCATATGTCAAAATTTGCTTCCTTTTTAAGACTGAATAATATTCTGCTGCATGGATATACCACAATTTGCTTATCCATTCATCTGTTGATAGACATTTATACTGTTTCCTCCCTTTGGCTTTTGCAAATAGTGCTGCTATGAACATGTGTTTACAAGTTTTTGTGGGTAAGATATTTTCATTTCTTTGAGTATATTTCAGGGTCATATGGTAATTCTGTGTTTAACTTTTTGATGAACCACTGAACAGTTTTCAACAGTAGCTGAACCATTTTACATATCCACC